TGTCTCGCTTGCCGGTCTTCCCACGTCGCTTGCTCATCTCTCCCTCCGCCTCCACCTTCCGGACGGACTGTTACGTCTGCCCGCCGGGCTTCCGGAAGGCCGGTGCCGGCACAGCCGCCGGCGCCGAATGACCACCACCTTCAGTCACCACCCCTCCCCGGCCCTTGGTATCCTCCCAAGCCATTTCCCCCTCACTTCCCGAACCATGATCTATCAATTCTTTTGCTTGGCTCGCCATCAAGGTAATCCTACGTGGTGCCGTGTGATGCGAGATCTAGCCCCTCAGGCGTGGCGGAGCGAGAGTAGACAAGTCGGGTATGGGTACGGATACTCGCGATAGCGAGGCGCATGATGATGGTGAGCAAGTTTCTGCCAAGACCCAAGCCTCTCTCTGCCAACTTGCCAACTTGCCAAGTCCTCTTTTCCTCATCACCCAAAATCCCAAGCCCTCTCTCCTCAGAAATCAATCATTTTGTTTGCCGCATATGCGTACACGTGCCACGAAAAAAGTCATTGTGCCAAGATATATCTTGGCGCGCCTCTTATTTGAGAAGCGCCCCCCCCCCCCCCCCGAAGACGCTAGACCTGTGGAAATGATACGATAATACTTATGCGGCTGCTAGTTAGGAGCGCGAGCAAGCCACCGCTTCGTCTGTTCGTCGTCATTGGGATGGCTAAGGCCCACGGTCCAATGGACTTTCTCTATGCTTGTCTATCCGTCGCCACCCTAACTCCCCGCCATGATCTATATCGCCTAGTCTGCGGCAGTGTTGCATGGACTTCGGGACCCCTCCCGCCCGCCAGCCTGACGTTGCGGTAGGTACATGAGCCTACGCCACACGGAAGGTGGTGTCTTTCCACCAAAGCCAAGACAAGCGCGATATCGCCTCGCCAAGTCGTGTACCTACGCATATGTGTGTCCATAGCTCCAACTCCATCTTGGCACTCGAGGAGGTTGAGAAGTTTGGGCTTGGCTTTTTGGCGTCTCGCCTTGCCCACATTCTCTCTTAGCATGACCGGGGCTAAACCGCAACAAGATCTAGTAGAGGAACGCGAGCAAAAAGCGCGTCTCATGAATAAGACAGGGAAGTATTTGGCGAAGTTGGTCAATCTTGGGTACTTGGCCCCTGGGAATGACGGGCCAAGGGTTTGCAGCAAGCGCACACTCAACCTCCAGCTAGCAAGATTAGGCGATGCGGGCAGCGGATGCACCTCGATCGACTTCGCCATCTGCATACTTGTTGATCACTCATCAACATGCCTAGCTACCCGTATAGAAAACACAGGAGAAGATTTATGACGGACAAAGATTAACTCCCACAATTCCGACCTCGCTCACAACGACCGGACCCCCACTGGCACCCCCTTGCCCTGGTTCAGACTTCAACCATTCCCCTGGGCCCGAAGCCGCCGCGGCTTACACCAAAAGCAGCGGCCAGGCTGGTAAGAACCAATGTCAATCCCGGTGCAGCTCTCTGGGCCCCTACTGTGTAGATGATTCGGAAGTGGCGCGCTACTTGGCTGCGTGGAAGCGGGAGGACTGGAAGCTTAACAGCATGGCGGCGAAGCAGCTGCAGTCTGCAGAGACGGGAGCCAAGGAGGCCCATCACGCATACTCAAAAGTGACGAGAAGCACTCCGTCCCCCGTACCTTTTTTGTTCATAGGAAAGGAATACGGATACTCAGTACTTCATCATTCTAGGTACGTATGTCTCCGCCATGCCGCCCCTGTCCCTGTACGCCCGTTGAGTGAGATGTTTCCCCATGGTCTTCGCCGGGGCCGCTGTAGCACAGAAATTGCCGTGTAGTAGTTGGCGGGGTGCAGGTAATTAGATCAACGACAAAAGTGCCCGTCTCCGCCTCTTTGTCTGGTTCCAGGATTGAGGCCTGCGGCCTGGGTTGCGGGCTTGCCCTGGTTCCTTGTGTAGTGTCCAGTCTCCAGTCTCCAGAGTCCAAGGGATCCGTAGATCAGATCAGAGAAATTCCCATGCTCTTCCCACCCGCCGCAAAATAGACTAAAATGTCTATTTTTTGCTCCTATTCCAATTTGCGGCTTGCCTGCAACTTGCTTGGCTTCTCTCCCTCCCCCCTTAATGGTATAGCGTCTTTCGTTTTTCATCACAGCAGAGTTGAAACGTTTGGTCCCCGGTGCCCTAGACCCTGTCCGATGAATTGGTTTTGATCCCATCTCGCCATCATCGCCTCCTCCCCTTAGTCCATCTATTGACTCTCGAGTCTTGACACTGGTATGTACCTCTCTTGCTAGTAAGAGTCAGAATGTTTGTCTCCATACTTTGGTCCCCCTGGCTCAATCTCGTTGGTTCACGTAATATCTGTCCGGGCAGACAGGTAAAGGTCCCCCGAGCCCCCCAGAAAGAAACTCGGCCCATCCGGTATGAGTGGGTTGGGTAGAGGCACCATGTCACATTGCTCAACTTTCAGGAAGTCCTTGGCCGGCTAGGGAGCAGTCGGGTAGCGTGAGGTGGTTACAGTGATGCGACCCCATCACGTACGTTGTCCCACTGCAACCAGATGACACTTCTTAGCATACATAACCGCCCGCCGGATAATAGCATTGCTAGCCAAGGGAACCAAAAGGGACGACACTTGTAACTCTAGAAGTTCAGACACGCCAAATGGCAAAGACCAACAGCAAGGGGGTGGTGGATGGTGCCGGTGCATGCGGCCGTGACAAGTCCGCATCCCGGCGCCGGACCCCCTTCTCTGTCCTCTCTTCTCCTCCATCTCGGCCGTTCATCTGCTTGCAGTTGCACATCCCTCCTCTTCCTGGTGACTGTACGGAGTACTGTGGCATGGTAGAAGGCTGGGATTCCGGGAGGCAACTCAACCTAACTTTGCCCACCATCTTTTCTTCAGCATCTATACTTCGTACCCAACCGAGTTATCCCATCTTTGAACCAATCAAGCCCATGTCGTGGTTCCGGCAAAAGAGTTGATCGCTGCTCCACCATCTCCCCGAGCAGAAATATCCGCCAAAACGTTTGGACGGGGACTCCATACCATAGCCCCAAGCTAAGGAAAGGAAACGAGCCCGAAGGCGGCAACGATCTGGTGCTTCGCACGCAGAGCGACGTCAGCGACACATGTGGCTCACGAGGCTTGTGGGTGACATGATCAAAAGAGTGGGAGGTAATAACTCCGTAGGCTGGATGTGGAACAAAAAGAAAAAGATGGAATAAGAGAAATTAGGCGGGCCATGTTATGTCAGTGCTGTGGCCCTGTCACTGCCAATAAGGACCCTCCATGCATATTGACCCTTTCCTCTTCTCTCCCTTCCCTTACTAGGCTCTATGGATGGCAGAAGAAAGGAATTAAGAAGCATGTGAGCTAGTGAATAGGTGGACTGCCCGGCGAGGGCGTAGGTATATGGTGAGCAGGGGAGTAGATGGAGAGAAGATGGAGTTATCCTCCACATGGACAGTCGGCCAGTGACAAGAGAGAAAGAGAGAGATGCCCTACACAGATACGCTTCCATAGGATACACAGAGACTGATAATGAGTACTGACTGCCTGCGTACTTTGTGCTCCAAATGTACTCTCTGTATGGTGCATCTATACGGGGTAGGTACACTAGCTGACTGGGTAGGCAGCTGGTAGGTATTCGTAACGAGAGAGAACGAGAGAGAGAAAAAGAGAGCGAGAGAAGGGGGTGGGAGTGTGTCCGATGAAGGCAAAGATGTACGGAGTACACTACGCCCATACGACGCCCACGCACGTTCAAGGTCCCGCCCAGGCACCACTTTGCTCCCCACGCAGCACACCAACCCCCATCCATTCACACCACTATCCGAAAAAGAAAAGGGAAACCAGTGTTTGGCACCAGAAGAGCTGCGATCTCACAATCTGGAGTTCGCACTAGCGGCCCAACTTGACAAGGACCCCGACTGTGCCAAGCTTCCAAAGCGGGTTTGTACGTTGTAGTATATCCGCACTACACCGCATCCAAACGCTCCCTCTGACCTTATCACCTTGGGTTCTGGAGTCTTGGGTCCTGAATCGGGGACTTGAGGACCATGGGACTTGGACTCGTTTGCTATGCATGTCTCATCCACATTCATTTGGGAGGGAATGGATAATGGTGAGACCTCATCGTGCCTGTGTGCCTGTGCCTGTATGCTTGTAGGTATGCCTGTGTACCGACCGGCATTGCAATACCGCGCGCGTGCCACGCTTGGGTTAGAGTCTTGGCAGCAAATTCTGATCAACTTCAACACCAACTTCGCTTTCCATCTTTGCCTTCATCTCGACGTGCCAAGCCAGCAAAGCAGACCATCACGGCACGCAAAAGTCGTTGCCAAGACGTCGGTTCTCCCAATGCTTCCTCCTGCTTGACATAATTTTGAGGGGGTCGGGGTACAAATTCTGCAGATGACGCGAAACGTAGACGAGACAAAAACAAATAACAAAAAAAATCACCAATCATCATCATCACTGGCTAGCATTCTGGATAACTCGCCGTGCTATCTACGGATAATGATAATAGCCGCATAGCCATGCCCCGTAGACTAGTATCCATCCATATGCCTCGATGCGGCTACTGGTACGGACGGTAAATCCAACTCCATGCCCTCAGTCGCCGCCCACTTCACGCATCACGAACGATCAAACACCGCCGGCCTTTTGGGTGCCACTTTCTCTTTCGCTTTCTTCACCATCATCATATCTCTTTCTCTCTCTCTAGCCCCGTTCCATTTACCAGTGCCCATCAAAGCCAAGCATCACCCAATCGCCGACAAACGTTACCTCCGCTACAACCAGTATTTCGTACTTGGTTGTTCGTACGGATACACATAGTTTGCAACACACCTCACCGTTGCGTTCGATAGATTCACCCCTGATCAACCGGCCACTTTCCCATCGATCCCGCCCCTTACACACATCGACTGCTTCTTGTTTCCATAGACCTGACCCCTGACTGACAACAAGCCCCTCCCATATCCTCTGGGGGCCCTCTGGACATCTCCATCATCGATTTGTATTTAATTATATTGCTGAACTGCAACATTGACAAGGTCTGCCTTCCATACCCAGCCCACCGGGTTTGTCCGGCATGTGGGCCAACCTGTCCTTCGGTATCGTGGAACACTCCAATGTGCGTCTAGTAGTCCGTCAACTGCGCATCGTGCAGCAGTCTCTTCACCGCATTCGGATTCCATATACACATGATGAAATGGACACTAACGTAAGTATCCGTAGCTTCTCGACCTTCTCGCTCACTATCTGCAACCCGACAACGGCCGCCACTAGGCGCCTTGGAGAAGGAAATGTACGAAGAAGGCATTGCCACAACTTCCTGACCATAGACCCCTTGCCCATCCAATTGCAGGATTCTTTGGGAGCGCGATGACTCGGAAAAAGGTACCATACCCATCCATTCGCTACCTCAGAGTAGACTAGTCTTCCATATGTACACTGTTGCGGAACGCTAGACAGAACAAGTTGGCCAGCAAGCTAGGTACGGCAGGATTGGTACCGCCATCGGAGGGCTAATTAGCCCGGCCGACCCGGGGCTTGCTCCAGGTTGAGACGACGCCATGCCATCCGTGAAGATCCACGTCCGTGCTCTGCAGTCTGCACACGCTTGGCTCCATGCTGTCTCTCTCTCTCTCTCTCTTTCTCTTTCTCTCTCCCTCCCGGTCTCCCTCTCCCTCGCTCTCCATGCTGCATGCTTACTGGTGCTGCTGGACTTACTAGCTGCCACTGGTCATCCTTCAAAAAGGTGTCTCAGCTGAATCACACCCCCACCCCTGCTTGCTCTCTTCTCAGTCGGCCTTCATAAAAAACCATGGCCGGCTGGCTGCCGATTCATCTGACGTGTAGCGCCTCGCCGGCACCCTCATTGGAATAGGCATCGTCGCTCCAAACACTCCATCGAGGCCCACCGATCCGTCCTGATCGAGCTGCTGATGCCGCCGCTTCCCCATGCTCTCTGCCGCTGCCGCCGTCGTTCCCTCCTTGCCCTTCAATGTCTCCTCGCTCTCGGCATGCCCCTCCAGCGTCACAGTCTGCGCCTTTGCCTGCGGACGCGACTGAGCCTGTGCGTCTTGGTCCCCAGTACTTGCCGAGCTGTCCTTGACCGCGACTAACACGCCGCACTCCCAGTTGCGACAAGTGAGCTTGGCCGTTCCCGACTCCCGGTCCTTCACTAATCGGCCCCTAAAAGTTCAATCTAGGTCAGCCTTATGATCGACCCACGTCGTTTCTTCACGCTGCCCTCAGACAGTAGGCTTTGCCCCTTCTGTGATGTGTCTCCCTCACTGAGACGAGACAGTACACTACACTAGACTGCCCCTTCACTCTTCGTCACACAGCCCTTACCACTAAGGGTAGCCTGCAGGCCAATCGCGAGGGTTCCTGTTTGACTTACCATGCGCTCTCCGACAAGTTTGCACTCCCCACGTATGCCCAGACTGCGCCGTCGTGCGCCCGCTCACGGACGAATATGGCTTTGCTATGTAGTAACAGGCCACCTCTGGCGCTTTGGCAATCTCGCATCAATTCTCGCGGAAACGTTGAAGAATTCCACCATTTCTCTTGCATGCAAATGGTGCCGGCAGACTAGATCACGTAAAATGAGCATACGGGGAAAATACATGGGGACTTGGGCAGCAGGATCGACCGGTAACGCGGCGATCCCGGCCGGCACACAACTTACAGATCTACCGCCCCGGCTACTAGAAACGGTCTTTTCGGTAGGGAAATAGATGCGGAAATGATGCTGCAATTGGAGCGGCTCCTTGTCAATGTCGACCGGTCTGGAACCACCCAAGCCTGTTTTTGCAGCCTTGCTCTTGGTCATTTTGGACTGCCTGGCTTCGTATTCTTTCATGCCTGAGTCGCCTGCAAGGAGTGCCAGCAATGGAGCGTTAGTATGCTGATCTTTTCACCCTGACAAACCTCAGCAGGCTTGATTGCAACCACACGCACCTTGACAGGCATAGTATATCATCGTTAAGAACCCATGGTTTAGCGATCCCAGTGAAGATGCCTGGGATGACAAATTTGTTAGCAACACCCCTGGTCACCGCTCGCCAAGAGCTGGGCAACTTGCTCAGCCAAAAGACCGCGCAGACCACCTACGTACCACATAGTCAATGTCAACGGCATTCTCGGTTGCCAAACCCAAGCTTCGGATAATGCTCCCTAAGCCGCAGTAGCCTAATCGAAAGTCTAAGTCAGCACAATTTTGACTTGCCACGAACATGAAGTCATCGCGTCCCGAGCAGAAGGGGTAGACTGGCCTGTGTGTTGCCAAGCTTCCTTCGTATGGCTGCCAGAGCTATGGGTCGATGTCAGCCTTCAGTCAGGATGTCATCTTATATCGGGCTGCCCTGTTGGCTATTGCTACTGACATGGAATGGACGAAACCATAACGGCTTGTCTCGGAGAAGTCGTAGTTGTCCAGGCTCTTCACCAATTTGTCGTCGAGGCCAAGCGCTCTTAGGAAGCGTCGGAGCTCGGTGCCGAATGATGTCTCGATAGGTGGCCCATTGAGCCGGGGCAGGTCGATCAGAAAGATCATCTAGGTAGAGTCAGCCAGACCATCAAGAATAAGTCAAGTTGGGAGCTCAAACGTTTTCCAGCTGACCCGTCTCTCCCCAGTCGTAAGGAACCAGGTTGCCGGAAGGAATTACAATACGGAGGCAACTGCGTGTCGGTGTTAGATGGCTACTGGTAGCTTAAACAGTTGAGATCCAACTTACCCTTCATACTTCAAGATCTGCAACTTGGAATGCATGTACCCGCCATGCATTGGCGGAAAGCAAAATTTGATGAGACTACCGGCCGGAATGTTTGAGCGGATGTTGGCTTTCTAGAATATGAAGCGCAAGCTCAGCACTCGACCAAGAAATGTAAGACAGTCTTCCAACATACCTCGGCATCGTTATTTGCGTAGGCGACTAGAAGCAGCTTGGTGTTTCGGACATTGACCTTCGAGAGAAGCCATTCCTCGTCCCATTGGAAGGATGAGAGCACGGCCAGCTGTAGTTTGTCCTTCTGAAGGACTTCCTCAATCTTGATATCTTCCCCATTTCTGGGGCAGCCGAAGGCCCAAGTGCGCTTGAACGCTCCTTTCGAAAATGGTAATTCCAAAGGATTTGCGGCTGGTGTTGCAGATATTGCTGGTGTCGCTGCCTTGGACTTTGCGGTACCAGTAACCTTATGGCTCTCAGAGACTCCAGGGCGTAGCAACTTTAAGCTCTGTGAGGATTGGGTATCAATACCAGCCTCTGCAGCTGAACGCTTCTTCAGTCTTGCTATACGTTCCTCTTCCATTTTCTTGCGGTCGAGGGCCAACAGCCCTAACGGGCCTGTGTTAGTGGCTGACGATGTCGGAAGCTTCGTTGCAGATGACGCAGCCTTGGTTCTGTCGTCGTTGTCAAATTCCTCTTGCTGTAAAGAGAGTGCAATGGCTAATGCGAGATCTGGATCGTCATCTGCGCTTGGCGACTGGGGTCGCGCCCGATTATTGTGCGAACTCATAATTGCTCGCGAGGTTTTGCTGCCTTTGGCTGTACTTGCTGGCTTGAAAAGACAGCTGCAATTCCCAGCGAGCTTTTTCGATCTTCCTGGAGTTGAATTTTTGCAAACAATTTAGTGCAGTGAAGCGTCGGCACTAGTACCACTTCGTCGTGATGATGGTGAACATTGGACGACGTCAATTACACGGCCGACGTGTAACCAAGACCCATCTTTCCGTTCGTCAACTCGCGAAGTCACGTGCTCTCGTGTCTGATCTTTCCTTTTGGTGCATGTGCATTTTTCTACATATCCACGCTTGAATGGCACTTATGCTATCAGCTTTACAGCGATATCGAACTTGGGTCGGTTTGTTACATCCAGTCCCATGGGTGTGTTGACAAGTTGATTCCTACAACAACGGCGAAGGTCGATATATTGATTGAAGATGTCATCTGTCTCAAGTATCTCTTTTGGAGGGGCTATTGCTATCAACCTCGAAAGCATGACCGATGTAGGCATCAGATTCGCGTCGGACAATGCATCGCACTTCAACCATGATGTTTTCTAACTTTCAAAATCTCACGTAAACTTTCGAATATTCTGCTGGTGTACAGAACATTTTCGTTTCTTTGTCGTTTGTATGATCTACCACGTTTTGTCCACTATCTGTAAAAGCCCTTCGGCTTTGTCGTGCTGTTGTGGTTTATCGACACCAACTATTTGCTACATCCGGGCTGGCAGTAGTCGCAGAGGCGATTGATACGAATCAAATGCTACCATGTCTGATAACCCATGCAACCCCGAATACCGCAAGAAAGTAACCAGGAAGTTCCATCTACATCTTTCGGTGGCTCTTCTTGCCCAAGTGTTGCTACTTTGGATTGAGAACCGAATGACTTGGTTGAAGACAGCGTTGGGGCAAGCGATGTTTGGAATTCCGGCTGAGTATAAGAAGTTGTTTTGAACACTTTAGATAAAGGGAGTCTCATTGTTCCACGAAAGCTGAATGGTTGTGAAAATGCCCCTGGTCGAGAATATCGTCTATTATGGGTTGCTGATACTCAAACCCAATGACCAAGGTACAGGATCTTCCAGCTTGGGATCGATACTTCTTATGCCCTGATCTCGTGGATGTTTGATTCGGTAACTCATTATCTTGAGCATGCTGATGTCTATCATTCCGACGGAAGCCCAGAACAAGCGGATTGAACAACACTGATGGAAACGTTCGTGGGCCCAGTATCTCGCAAGCCACATTGGCGGAATGGACGAGATAGACGGCACTTCAGCTCCTAGTCAGACTATATCTTATGCCTCTCAAAGTAAGGTGTAAACTTCTCTCGCTAGTTCACTTCTGTCAGCATCGCGTCAGGCTAGACGGAGCCATCATGCTGATCCCTATACATTTATTGCGGTCTGATGCTGCAACCAACAGAACCCTCGGGGATCCTTTTCGGGCGTTATCATACTCTTACTCAGACCCCAGGATACAAAACCTACATATTGGAGATGAGGACAAAGTTCTTTCCGCTGTCTCGGCGCCGAATGAGTGGGCTTGTCTTAACAAGTATGTCATGACGCCAACTTACGTGCATTCGTGAAAACCACGTAGCGGTTGATTCATCCAGCATAATACGAGTGTCTGTATTTGTATTACAATGAAGATGTAGCCTTTGGGCAATAGTTCTGTAATAGCATCAATATTTTACAATTAGCGGTCAGGGGACGTCTTTCAGGCTATCTCCCATGTTGAACCTGAATGCGAAACTTACCAAAGAGATTTCAATAAGACAATCCCTTTGAAACTCACAGACAGACTGATGCTACTGGAGCGTCGCCCTTTTCGTCGCCGGCTTCTCTAATGCACCGTCACCGCCGGAAGACGTAAGGACAAGGAGTTATGTATAAACATGTATTTGACGAACGTTTCTTGCAGGACGGAGAACTGGCACCGTAGGCAATCAAGGCGATCGCCTAGAATATACACATAACTAGCCCTTTGGGGTCCGGCCCGCCTCATTGGGGGCCATCTTCGCCTTCACAGGCAAGCTAGTCTATTAGGGTTAATATCGAGTTTCTATTACGTACTTTAATAAGACTTTATATTAACTAATAATAGCCGGCTATAGCCGGCTATAGCTAGTATAGCTATTATTAATTATTAATACTAACTAAACTTAAGATATTAATAACCCCGTTACCGTAGTATATTAATCGCCCTCTAAATAGCTAAAAACTACCCCTTACTTTCTACTTTATTTAATAACTTTAAAATATCCTTTTTAGTCATTTTTACTCTACTCTTATACTAGGTTTTTAAAATATTAATAATACTCTAAAGTTAGTTAAGTATTTCGAGGTTATTATATTATATAAACTAGGTATTAATTAGGGTAATAGTTATATTAATATTTTTTTTTAATTTTTAAATCGATAGTATTTAATCCGTATTCGTTTAAATAATCGTATTATAGCTCGGGGTCCTTTAGTATAATACTTATAAAATTAAACTTTCAATTATTAAAGAAGTCCTAGGGGTTAATAATAACTAGGCGTTTCGGTATTTTAATAGTATATATTTAAAAATAAATAAATAATTCGATAGTAATAGTAATAAGGTAATAATAATAACTAATAAGGGAAGCGTTTTTTAATTTCGATAAAAAAAACGAAGTAATAAATATATATACGTATACGAGTTAAAATTAAGAATATTAAAGTAAATATTAAAAGGTTAATATTATTTTTAATAATAATAACGAGGGCATCTCCGATACTACCGTTATAAGCTATAGTTATTTAAAAAAGTAGGGAGCTTAGCTAAGTATATAGGCTTATAAAGTAGTAGCGTCGGGCGCTTAATATTACTATTAATTTATAATTATAAACTTCCCTTTGGGGTCCGGTCCGCCTTATTAGGGGCCATCTTCGCCTTTACGGGTAAGCTAGTCTATTAGGGTTAATATTAAGTATTTTTATTACATAACAAACTTTATAACTAATAATAGCCGGCCGTAGCCGTTACTGAATATTAATAATCCCGCCGTAATATATTAATCGCCCTCTGAATAGCTAAAAACTACCCCCTACTTTTTACTTTATTTAATAACTTTAGAATATCCCTTTTAATCTTTCTTAACCTACTCCTACGCTACGTTTTTAAAGTATTAATAATACTCTAAAGTTAGTTAGGTATTTTAAGGCTACTATATTATATAAGCTAGGCGCTTATTAGGGTAATAGTTATATTAATATATATTTTTCTAATTTTTAAATTAATAATATCTAATCCGTATTCCTTAAGACGGCTATATTATAATCCGGGGTCCTTTAGTATAATATTTATAAAATCGAACTTCTAGCTATTAAAGAAGCCCTAGGGGTCGATAATAACTACGTATCTCGGCATTTTAATAATATATATTTAAAAATAAATAAACGATTCGATAATAATAGCGATAGTAATAGCAATAGGGCAATAGCAATAGGGCAATAGTAATAGGGCGATAGTAATAGGGTAATAGTAATAAATAGTAAGGGAAGTAGCGTTTTTTAACTTTAATAAAGGAAATAAGGTAACGAATATATATATATACGAGTGAAGTTAAAAGTACTAGGGTAAATATCGTAAGGTTAGTATTATTTTTAACGACGGCGACGAGGGCATCTCTAATACTACCGTTATAAGCTACTATTACTTAGAAAAGTAGCTAACTTAGCTAGGTATGCGGGCTTATAAGGTAATAGCGCCTATTATCGCCGTTAATAATCCGTAGTTATAAACTTTATAGGAAGGAAAGTTAAAAAGTTAGAAAATCTAAAAAAATAGTTTAGTAAGATAGTGTGAGTATTTACTAATACCGTATATTAATACTATATAAACGATATTGAGAATCGCCCGAGTAGCTAGTAAAAGTAAAAATAAAAAACAAACAAATAATTATAAACTTTATAAGAAGGAAAGTTTAAAAAAGTAGAAAATCTAAAAAAAAATAATCTAACGAAATAGTAGGAGTATCTACTAATACTGTATGTTAATACTGTATAGCTAATATCGAGAATTGCCCGAGCAGCCAGCAAAGGTAGAAATAAAAACAAATATACATAACTAGAGCTTGGCAGCGTGAGCCGGGTTTTGACAGGAGCGTACCACTGCCCCCTTGATGCGTTATGCCAGGGATGATGTTCCCCTAGTGAGAGATCATAGAGGTGGTCCATTGTGCTGCGGCTCCTGGTTGATGGATGAGCTTAGAGCGACACGAGAATCAGTGACTTAGCCAGGAAGTTAATTGCTGGGGCGGCCGTAGTCTCACCCTCAGGGGCTTCTAAAAGCTTCCCGCTGCTCATCCGAGTTTCTAGTTTAAAAGTCTAAGGTTGTGCTACGTCTATATACCGTCATCCGACTTGGTCTAAAGATAAATGCTGATATCCGACATTAACTTGCTCAGTAAGTTGAAGAAGCAGAGAGGCTTCGTCACAAGAAAGGGGCCGGTGACGTTGAATATTGGAAAAGGGAGGCTAGGGAATATTGCATCACAGGTGCTGGTTGGAAAGTCCACAGTGAACTGTTACATAACAGACACCCCAGATTGGCCATGTATAGGTAGGGACATGTTCAAGGGCTGCGCGGTAGTCTGCTCAAGTAGCATAACCACGGCACTTCACCAAGGACAGAAACATCGCTAGTACATTGTTTACAGAGAGCTCCCTCTCAAACTATTTTGATACTGTCCTGTTTGGTCGGCCGTCCAAGTATGCCAAAAGTGTAAAGGATTAGATCAGAGCCGGACCACCAACGCCACCAAGTATATATCTTGATAGTCGTCTAATTCGAATGGATACAAACATGATCGAACATGAAAGATGGAAACGGAATATGAATTGGTCCTAACTGAAAAGAGAACATCAACATCGCTTTCGGGTATCAAGTAGAATCTCAGGTAGGCACGTAAAGCAACTGCGAGCTCCTGCCGCTTTCCCGCTTTCCCGCTTTCCCGCAACCCCAAGACACCCAGCAAGACAAAGTAACAAGTCATATCAAATAGAAGCAGCGCAGACTCTCATTCCCATGCCAGATGAGTTCCAGTACTCCTGCGTCTTCCAAAGAGGAACAACGGCACAAAGCGAACCAGCCAAGTGACGCCCCAAGTACCAAGTGTAATGAACCTTCTTGTTGTTTGCAATCGACAGACAATGGCCGCCTAAGAGTACAGAGGACGTTCTCCCGATTGTGTAGATGACATGGGCGACTCGAGTTTCAGAATGCGGCGCAGGTTGTCCTCCATGGCGCGGAGATCGGCAGATTGGTCGCCCTGAGGGGCCGGGTTATTTCCCATGAAGCCGTTATGGACGTACTGAGCTGGCGGAGCCGAAGCTGGTGGCTGGGCAGCTGAAGCCAGACCTTTGCCCCCAAAGAGATACTTCTTCAGAGCTTCAGAGCGATCCTCGGCAGGCGAGACCTGCGTAGGTCTCGTGCCATTCGGAGACTGGTTGGGAGCGGCACGGGCAGCGCGGATGCGCTCTTGGTATGGGGTGGAGAATGCAGGGCCAAGAGGCTTTCCCGAAAAGCCGTCAAGCTCCTGGGCCGAGATTCCACTAGATGATCTCTGGAGAGGCATACGGTGCCCAGGGTGAGTGTTGTAAGGTTTTGCAACGAAAGGGCCATGGTTGGCATCCCTGGGCGAAGGGGCAGCGGTTGACTCAGAACCATCTGTTTGAACGGACGAGTTCAACGAACTCGATCGCCGCGCCTGTTCCTTTTCAGCTCTATCGGCTCTGAAAATGGCGTCAAGAGGCGACTCGTGAGCCCTAGGTGCGGTCGCAGGATGCTGAGGTGTCGGGCGTTGTCGTTCGGTTGCCGGTGGGGACGGCTGCTGTTGGGCTTCCGGCCTGGGTCCTGGAGATTCGGGAATGGACTTTGAATAGAAGCTGGGCATAGGTAAGGCTGATGGAGCAGGCGAAGCATGGAAAGTCGCGCCAGCGAAAGCGGCCGCTGCCGACTTGTTCACCGGGATGCTCTGAGGGGTCGAGCGGCGGTTTTGGCGGGTGACGTCAGGCGAAGCTACGGTATTGGGGTTCCTAGCCCGAGGTTTGTTTCGCGAGCGCTGTTTGGAGCCAGGCTGGTTGCCGTTGCCGGACTGCGGCTCAGGCGAGCCAGAATATGACTTCTGGGGGGTATGAGGATGACCGGCTTGATCGAAGGCCAAGGTTGAGACATTGGCGACGTCGGTCTCTGATGCGTACATCTTCTGTCCAGCAGCCTTGCCGCCACCGCCACGATTTTGTCGGCGACGAGTGGGCGTTGGCTTTGCTTGATTTGTTGTTTCTTGCATTCTGAGTCGTAGGAATGGGATAGTAAGTTGTGTCGCAGCGACCGCAGGATAGAAACTGGCGGCAGTCAGGGTCGACAAAGGGGAAGAAGTCCTAGACAATGGTCGCTGGAAGGTAAAGAATGCCTTAATTGAGAAGGTAAGGATATGATGGTGGCGGAAGGAAGGTATCTGTCGGTCGCGAGGCTTGGATACGCTGGCTGTAGCAAGATTAGATATGGTGGGTTTTCCTTCTTCCGATGGTACTGTTTTTGCTACGTTCAAGCGCCAGGAGGATGGTCTGTTTGAGGAAGCGGATTGGGAGAGAGTAAAAGCGAAAAGTAGAAGCCAGAGTCTGATGCAGGAAAAGCGCGTGTATATTCTCTGCTCATGTTGCCGTACAAATGAGTGACGGGCTGAAGAGTCGAGTAAGGTGACGATGGCAAGAATCGGGGGAAGAGCAAAGCCACAGCATGCGGCGAAAGAGGGGAGAGGGGCTTAAGTAACCCCGGTGCTAGGAGACCTTGAGCTGAGTGGAGATGTTGGGTGAGTGCGTGTGTGTGCCTTGCCAAACCTGCCCAGATTGGGCGTGTTCGCTGAGGAACCTGCCCGACTTTCCCTCCTCCTGTCTGAGGCCCAGAGGTATCTCGCCACACTAGCAAGGCGCGTTGGGTACCTACCTGAGGTGCCTGTCCTAGGTACCTATCCATACGCAAGTAGGTAGCGTAGCGTAGCGCAGCGCGGGCGGTGGCAGGTATGTCATCCCGTCCCCTCGGTGTCACTGCCAATCCCATCCCATCATGGATCCCATCCAAGTACCTTTCCCATTATCCCTCCTTATCTAGTTGCCCCTTACAGGCTACGCGTGGCTCAGTGACCTCCCGTAAGAGAGAGGTGGATCTCCGTGTTGACCCCTTCACGTGCGCTTCCAGCCTTACTCCCCGTCTTCAGCTCCGGACGGCTCGCATTACCTCACCATCCTTGCTTCTATCGTCGAAATTGGCAAAAGGTTGCTGATACGAGTCACGGCCCTGGACTTTTGAGAAGAGCTGCGTCACCCCGATTCCGCAAGAAAGCCCCAAAGTCAGGTAGAAAGCAGAGGAGGGATCCAAGACGTGCTTGATTGGTATCATGGAGCAACTGCAAGCCACTGAAGTCAGGCCGCTCACGTTGTAAGGTACCTAGATCCAATGCCTGAGTACGATTGCCCAGTCAGAGGCAAATGCTGCAGTTCCTACTTGGTGTGACTGTCACTGAATCCCCGCCGTCTTCCAAATTCGCCTCCCTCACTCCGATTGTGTTAGATGCTCAAAATCGCTGCAGGACTCTCTACTAAAGGGACTCAACCTATTCTACATGCTGCCATGGGAAATGCTTCCAGAAGTTGTCTCAACCTGAGACTTTGTGCTGGCCCATTGCTGGGCCCAGTGCGCACTTTGGTAACGTGAAGACTGTCTTGAGCCGTAGCAAGCTTAGGTAATCTGCTCGCTTTCCCACTGTTTGCTATGGGCTTGCTACTCCCAGGCAGTGCGGGCAGGTCTACAGGGCACATTAGGGTCACAGGTACCTAAGCACCGAAATCCCCCGGCCCTGAGGGACAGGCAACGACCGCTTTCCCGCACTGTAGGGGAGGTAGGTCATTCTACCTTACGCCTCATGAACCCCGCCAAGGCAGGCGTGGAATCAGGCGCCTTACGGACCGGGGCCACTCCCGTTGGCAGCCTTTCCTGCCCGCCATTCGCATACATCACCAACCTAACCACAGAAATCCGGCCTGCAAACGAGACACGACAAAGGCCGTAATAACCCGTCAAAGCTACTTTTCTTCTCTTAAAATATTGAGGAGTTGGTTTGAGTCATCTTTGTAAGAAAATCACCCGCAACCCGGAAGGCTCGACATAGGCTAGCCTGCCCGCTCGCAACCCTTTGGACCTCATTGATCGGACTTAGCTGACCTACAACGACACAGAAAAGGTACGCTTCTCACGCCTTCTCCGCAAGCCGTCCATACTACCGAACCGCTGCTTCTTCTTCGACATTTAATATATCATCCTGACTTTGACCGGTATCGCTCAGTTGTGCAGAACTCAAACTTACCGCCTCAACCGTAGCCGGAATCGTAGCTCGATTCGATATTCCACAATGGCCGATGTCGATATGACGGATGCGCCCGGCACTGCCGTCGCCAAGAAGGCCGCCGACGGCGAGAGCAGGCCGGTGGACGCGAAGAAGCGCTTCGAAGTCAAGAAGGTGCGTAGATGGAGGAATTGGATAGCTTGACCCAAGCTTACAAGTGCCTCTAGTGGAATGCTGTTGCCTTGTGGGCATGGGACATTGTCGTCGACAACTGCGCTATCTGCAGAAACCACATCATGGACCTCTGTGAGTTGGACGCTGACATGCAAACCCGCTGTTTCGCCCTTACGCATGCTAATAACACACAGGCATCGAGTGTCAGGCAAACCAAGCCTCTGCAACGAGTGAGGAGTGCACTGTGGCCTGGGGTATATGCAACGTATGTTTTCTGTACTCCATTTGCCTACTCTCGCTAACCTACGTGCAGCATGCATTCCACTTCCATTGTATCTCACGTTGGCTCAAGGCCCGACAAGTCTGCCCGCTGGACAACCGCGACTGGGAGTTCCAGAAGTATGGGCGCTGAGATGGTGCAAGGCAATGGTGCGAGGATCTCGGTCGATGGATACGCAGCATTATGTGTCATGGCTACGCAGAATGAGGATACAATAAGTGATACTCTCCTGACGAGCGAGGACTGCGTCCAGCTGGCGGAAACAGCTAGCCAGAGAGGCCCTCTGGGGTGGGCACAATTACAGATGCAGGAATATACATCACAATGACTTGATGAACAATTGACGTCTTTGGTTCCGGCTATCCCGACTTCCCTATTGTAACCTCGTTTCGTGTCCCGGAGCCGGACGCGGATCCAGGTTCTAGCCACTTGACTGGATGTTGCTTGAAAAAGGGCCAAGGAGGCACGACAAGGAGGAATGTGAGTACGGTTCCGCCTAAGCCAACGTAGACTGCGAGCTTGATGTCTTGCAGAATGTATCCGATGATGAAAGCAAGAACCTACAGGGAAGGGCAAGTCAGCATGGAGTGCTTTCAAGTTTGATATCGAACAATTGTCAGAACTTACTCCAGATGCCGAGAGAAGTAGAGTCGCGAGGAGATCTGCCAGTTTCTGGCCCTCAAAGTCCTGTAGGGAACACATCGTTAGCGTCTGGGAGTTGGAGATGCGTCAAAGAAGCCGAAGGGGAGGCAGGTTTCCACCGGGTGACGTACGATCTGGCCCTCAGCGATATCGCGAACCTGGTCGAGGATTTGATCGGCCATTGTGATTGCGCCCGCGAAACTGTCCAAAAGCGTTGTTCTTTTTGGTTGTTGGCCGGTTGATGATTGGGGGGGGGGGGGGGGGGGGTGGGCGGGGGGGGTGTGCGGGGGGAGGGGGCGGGGGGGTGCGTGGGGGGTGGGTGTGTGTTTGTGTGGGCGCCGCGCAGGGTGTGGTTTTGTTGTTTTTTGTGGTTGGGGGGGGGGGGGGGGGGGGGGGGGGGGGGGGGTTGCGCTGGAAGATGGATTGGTGTGGTGAGCAACCTCTTTGCCAAGTCGTTGGTGCAGACTGTCGGGCCGTAGATGTGTCTTCGAATATTTGGTTCGGTCTGCGATCTCGAGGTGATCAACAATGGATGATCTGGTATTATGGTGGCAGGAGCAAATGGAACGTCTCTTAGCAAGGCACCTAAGGTAAGGTAAGGTTAGGTAGGTAGGGAACAGGTATGCCGTTTCCGAAGCAAGTGAAGCACGGACCCTAGTCCTCAGGTCTGGTTTGCAAGCTCACTTTCACTCCGTGCAGCCTTCGGCACCATGTTCCTGCTCCAGCAGCTGCTATTGGGTGCAGCCCAACCACAAGGCGAACGATGGGGTACAGGCTAAACAGGCCAGCGGACTGTGTGGGGTCACTGGTATGACACACCCAGACATCCTTGGCCTGGAACCTGAAAAAAAAGTCTCTCTCGGCTGGCCTGTGCCGCCACCTACCTTAGCGACTCACTGGCTCCAAAGTCGGATTTTCACTCAGAACCGGGAAATCTTCCCTTGCATTTGATCACCTTCTGGCCGTCCCCGTCATCTTTCGGTTCCATTCACCACCAAAAATTTCAAAAAAAACCCTCAACACGCTCAGGACAACCGAGAAGACCTGTCGTCCAAACTCCTTTTTTTTCTGTGCAAACCAACCTTTTGTTCATTTGATTGTGCAGCAGTCAGACCAGCTTTCTTCATCAGATTAGTCTGATCTTGTTCTGGTGGTTGATCTAGCGACCTACCAAAACAATCGCATACTGTTTCCGGACGACGAAGACAAAGTCCCACATCCTTGGGTCACCATTCGCACCACCTAAACCGACGACCATTGTTCCTCGATCGTTATCCGATTCCCTCAACACCGCTCGTAACAACAAATAATCACCTCCTCGACCTCACATACTATTGTGTCTTCCGAACTGCTGCGACAAATAATAGAATCGCATTCGACTTTCGAGTTTCCCAGGTCGAAAGACCCACTTGATATTCTACCCGACACTCCAAACCACCAAGTTGGCTTCACTCGCAGCTGACGCTACCTCACCCACCTGTTCACTCCGAGGTCCTGGTTTCTGGGTCTACAGCGGAGTGCACAAGAAACCTCCGTAATCGGGTTTCAAAATCAACAGAAATAACCGGAATACAACATCACATCTCCAGCATTCTTGTGCGTCAACGCTGTCTCCTCAGCGTGTACGCATCTTCTAGGGACTGGCACGACCACAGCCACCCTGGAAGCTCGCTACTCTTTCAGCGCACACCGCGCCGGCCGCGAGGAGTGCGATTCGGTAACGGTCTACTTTGAATACGCATCAGTTATGGGTATCGCCGCCTGATTCAAGAGTTGCGGAGGCCTTCGAAGAGGAACGAGTTTGAGACTTACAACCCATTCCACCAAACGAGCTACCCACACAAGCGGGTCAATATTTTCGTTGGCTGTGAAACCAAGCAATATTGCCAGGTTGCAGCACCAAAGTCAACATGTCTGACCACGAGGAGAATATCTCTGAGGGCGGCTTCAAGACGCCGATCCCTGAGCTCGACGACCACCGCCATCAGGTTGCCACTAGCCCTCACCCAGAGCGGCCTCGAAGAGGCACTTTCGACACTCTGTATGGAGCGCGCCTTCTTGGGCCCGACTCGGTTTCTGGTGAGCGGTCGCCAAGTATCAGGGTTCGGGATTTCGAAGAGGCAATTGTCGATGATGAGGGAGGTGACGTCTCGCCGCATGCGCGACGGGTTCGTCGACCGACTGTTGAGACGGTCACCGACCAGAGATCCATCTCCCCTCCCAACTCGGTCAAAGCCTTCGCTGAAGCGCGCCGTCGCGAGCGTGGCATGTCCTTCTCTGAGTCCAAGGCCGAGAGGAAGGGCAGCGAGGAGAACCTGCATCGCGCAGGCTCAATCAGCAGCCGCCGTAGCCACCGCAGTCGACCTTTCACGGTCGATGACGGCGCCAGCTTGGCCACCAACCAGTCGGCCGAGGAAGACGTCTGTTTCCCTCTACAAGATCCCCGGCGTAAGGACCAGCTGTACATCGACTTCGACTACTTGGAGAATTTCGTCCAGTCTGACCAGGCATCGCGAACGGCTAGTCGCCGCGATTCTCTCCGTGCCTTCCCGGACCTACGACAGACACAGACGTCTGAGGGTCAGCCTCAGCTGCAACTCAGCACTGTTGATGGAGATATTGTCAACATGCCCTCTGACACCTCTGATGAGCAGGAGATCTCGGAGAAGGAGCATGCCGCCGAAGATGCTAAGAATAAGCCTGTAGCTACCCAGCAGCCCCTGGACCCCAACCGGTTCAGCTTCTTTTCTTCGGCTTGGGAATCTACGATCCACGCAGCAGAACTTGGGGACTTGGTTCTTCCCGGCGAGGATCTTCGGGGCCTCTTCACGCTCCCCGCCGATGAGTCCGATGGAGTTTGGTGGTTGAATGTCAACAGCCCTACCAAAGAGGAGGTTACCGCCATCTGCAAAGCATTCGGTATCCATCCTTTGACAATTGAGGATATTACGACGCAAGAAGCGCGGGAGAAAATTGAGCTGTTTCCCTCGTACTACTTCGCAAGCTTTCGATCTTTCACCCCAGTACAAGAAGACGACGGCTTGGAGTATGAGCCGTACAACCTCTATGTCGTTGTCTTTCGCGAGGGTACTCTGAGCTTCAGTTTCGAGCCCAATGCCCACGCCTCTCACGTGCGCAAGCGGATTGCCCTGCTTAGGGACTACGTTGCGCTGAGCAGCGACTGGATTTGCTATGCTCTGATGTAAGTGGACACAGTCGAAGTCGATTATCAGTGCTAATCTGTTGGGCAGTGACGATATTGTGGATTGCTTTGCTCCAGTCATCCGCGACATTGAGTTAGAGGCTGACGCCATTGAGGACGGCGTCTTCGTCGCCCGCGAGGATGATTCAAACCAGTTTCTGCGGTCCATTGGCCGAGTGCGCAAGAACACCATGGCTCTCATGCGCCTTCTTGGAGGCAAAGCTGATGTCCTGCGAGGCTTTACCAAGCGTTGCAACGAGAACTACAAGGTTACACCCCGTATGGACATTGGACTTTATCTCGGCGATATACAGGATCACGTCGTCACTATGGTCACCAACCTCGGCCACTTCGAAAAGATTCTGTCTCGCTCCCACAGTAACTACTTGGCTCAGCTTTCCATCAACAGCATCTCTCAGGGTACACACACGAACTTAGTACTCAGCAAGATCACGTTCCTCGCGTCGATTCTTGTTCCGCTCAACCTCGTTTGTGGACTGTTCGGCATGAACGTTCCGGTTCCCTTTGCGGACACTTCTCTTGTCCCGTTCTTTGTCATTCTTGGAAGCTTGATTCTCTTCAGCGTTGTGAGCATGACCTTGGCTCGCAAGTACAAGTACATCTGAAGAATACATCGGGGCGCTGTCGTCAACGTTACGACTTGATTTCCTTCCATGCCGTTATATTAGTAGGGCATGAAGCATAACCGTGATGGCTTGTGCAAGCAACAAAACAAGCAACGGGATTGGACAATGGGGCTTTCATGTCAATTGATCGATTTTAATTTAGTCTTGGTAGATACAAGAGAATACGAATTGGTTCCCAAACTTTGCAATGCATGCCTCACGCAGCTCTAATGCTTGCCAGTTTTACAAATCAGCAAGGCTTACTCAACCTAAGTCACTATTCACGAAGCTGAGGATATGTTTCTTTGCACTGCTCTGTGATCTTGATAAGTACATGGCGTTGTGCGTGCTTGGTTTTCGCGCCCATACTCAGCCAATGGGAGATGCCCAGGTTATAGTGGAGACAAAAAAAAAGCTGGATGCAAGAAGTACGGAAAGGCAAATATTGGAAGACTTTTGACCTCTACCATACTATCGTCACAGCCAACATACGCTCCTCCATCCCGCACTTGCAATCCCTAACGAACAACGTACTATCAAGGATCTGGAAAATCTCACAAAGACACAACGATGGACTCCTCAAGATCAGCGCTCGAGAACTCAGACCTCGACAAGCTTAACGACAAGGACAAGCTTGAGCTCCGCCAATTCCTTGCCAACGAGCAGCAGAGATCTCAAATTCAGTCACGTTAGTATATCCTCATCTTATGGGACCGTAGAAGAGGGGAGCATGGCAGATTGAAGGTGATGGGAGACTATGGGAGGCATTGGCGTATGTGCGCGGTCTAATCAGATGGCTGCAGACATAGAGGGAGAGAGAGAAAGGACTTGGCAGCTAATTCGAATCATGAATAGAAACCCATGCTCTCACCGAGATCTGCTGGAAGAAGTGCGTCAGTGGCTCGATCCGCGGCTCGAAGCTGGACAAGGGCGAGGAGGGATGCCTGGCCAACTGCGTTGACAGATTCCTTGACGTCAACTTCCTCACGATGAAGCACCTCAACAACATGCGCTCTGGTTAAATGGGTTTGGAGAAAACCGTCGAATCACACACGCTGGAACAACAGGAAACAGGATACGGAACACGTCACAACGGCATACTCGTGGGGGAAACGGTAGACCGAATAGAGAGGGGCGTAGAGAAACTTCGGATGGAAGTTGCTCATGTACAAGCATATGTATCACTATGTACGAGGAAGAATGGCAATCCCATCATGTCAGAACACCGTCTGACAGGTTTACAACAATATCTGGCATGTCACAACGATCTCACGGTTGCAAAGTTTGCGTCTGGATATACAAGGATGGTCACCGGAAGCGAATTTCGCATTCATGTGCATTTCTTCGAGACTGAACACGGTCATGGTACTCCAGCCTGAGTACCGGGAGAATCGATTGGTGCCCTCGAGGAGATGCCACTCCTGGGGAATCTGTATCAACAACCTTGAGACGCCCATGCCAATGCCTTTTGCAGTCAATGAACCCGAATTGCTTTTTACTTATTCATTTCCCATTCCCGTTTCAGTCCTTCGCGGAAAATTAACATCCGCTCTAGACGAGAGCCAGCTTGGTGGCGGCGATGTCAAGAGCATCGACATCGGGGGTGAGGCGGGCATAGGCCTTCTTGGAGCCGTCGGGGCGGATCAGGGTGTTGATCTTGACGGTGTCGATGTCGTAAAGTTTCTTGAGGGCCTGCTTGATCTGGGCCTTGTTGGACTTGACGTCGACGATGAAGACGAGGGTGTTGTTCTCCTCAATCTTCTTCATGGCGGACTCGGTGTTGAGGGGGTGGACGATGATCTTGTGCTCGTCGAGGCGGGGCTCGTGGGGGATCGACTTGCGGGGGTACTTGGGAGCGCGCGAGACGACGAGGGTCTTGGGGCGGTGGAACGAGGTGGTGTAGCGGACCTTGTTCTTGTAGTGACCGTGGGCCTAGGGGAAGATGCTGTCAGCTTTCTAATTTGTGGTGGCAGACAGTATCCCGTCCTCCTTCGGACGCAGGCACTTCGGTTGTCTTGGGAAGCCGCGGGCAGAGGGGTATATTGCTTGTACTTACACCCTTCAGGGCAGCCTTGGCAGCGTTGTTGGCCTGCTTGGAGCCCTTAGGCGCCTTGGAGGCACCGCCTAGAGTAGAGATGTCGCATCAGCAATCGCTCTTTATTTTCAAAAGAACTCGCAAAATCTGCTGTAGCATGATGCTCCGGGAGAGAGGTTTCGGCGTAGAGATTGTTGGTGTATCCCCCGTTCCGTCACCGTTCTGCCCGTTGCCGTCGACGAAACAAGAGATTTTGTCGAGTCGCCATTGTGTGCGTTTTGTGTATATGGTGGTTGGGAATGTTGCGCTCGCAAGTGTGTATTTCTTGCTGCTACCGGGAGTTGATTTCTCAAGTACCTTTCTTCGAGTCCTTGGGGGCCATTGTGACTGATGGGGATGTTGGCTGGTTGGGCGGGTTAGCTGGGTTGTCGTCGGTGTCGAGGTCGAGTGCAAAAAGAAGAGATTCCGAAAGTCAAATGTTTTTTTTCTCTCATCTGTGGGCTTAGGGTTGACTTGGTCTGTGCGCCCCAATTCGTTATCTTATCTTGGCTGGAGGAGACGGGGAAAGTGATGAGGAAAATCATTCCGCCGTTGCTGGCTAGCCTAACCCGACTAGAACCGCGCTCAACCTAGCACTTGCCAAAAGGAAGCAGACTGCTTACATAAGGCTCGACTTACACTCTTCGAGCAGGGAAAAGAAAGAAAAAAAAAACCCCAAGCATCTGCTATGTCGACTTTGATATTGATCTCGTTGAGAATATCCAAAGCTCACTCAACGTACGCGACCCGGAAGCGCAAATCGAAGCCCTCTTGCTCCTCACTTTGATCGCTCTTCTCCGCCCCAAACAAGTGTCAGAAACATGGGAAGGACGAAGCCCGCCAATAAGCTGTTGTCCAGAGGCCGCCCTCCCACTATCAAAAAAGCAAAGTCCATATCTCGCAAAGAGACCAGAACGCTTATCAACACTCATCACACCTTGCAGAAGAAGCGCCAGCAAGCACTGGCTCGGAATGATGAGAGGGAGGCAGCAGCGGTTGCAGCCGAAATTTCTGCCCTCGGCGGGCTCGAGGAATACCAGCGAGCCAGTCTCCAAGGCCAACGAGTAGATCGCGGCGGAGACAGCTCGAGAGTCCTCCTGGACTGGCTACGATCAGCCGATTTGCAGCCATTGAAGTCCAAGGACACTCGAAGTGAGGGGAAGAGCGAGGGCGGGGCGCATCGCCGATTGCGAATGCTCGAAGTGGGCGCTCTCAGTACTGATAACGCTTGCTCCAAGAGCGGCGTCTTCGAAATGACTCTCATCGACCTCAATAGCCAACGGGCGGGCATCCTGCAGCAGGATTTCATGGAGCGACCGCTACCAATGGACGACTCGGATCGATTTGACATCATCTCACTCAGCTTGGTTGTCAACTACGTTCCTGACCACTCACTACGTGGTGAGATGCTTCTCCGCACGCTTTCATTTCTCCGCCAGCCTGGAGACGATCTATCGGATGCTACTCGCGCCCTGTTTCCCTCACTATTCTTGGTCCTCCCTCGGAGCTGTGTCGATAACTCACGCTATTTCTCTCAGGATCGGTTGGTTGAGATCATGACGGCCTTGGGATACGTCCAACTTGAGGGAAAGGCCACCAACAAGCTGGTGTATTCACTCTGGAAGAGGGCAAATGCTTCAAGCGAACCGTTGCCCTTGTTTGCCAAGCAGGAGCTCAACCCGGGCATGAATCGTAACAACTTCACAATCACACTGAAGGGTTCATGATTACATGCCGCTAGATTGGATCAACTTTTCGGCCCAGGGAGCCGGCGGGCAGATCATCAAGTGGGTTGAAAACGGGACATCACTGTTGCCATTGTGATCAAAGACGGGGCCCAATCACGATTCTGGCTGCCTTTTTGGGGGCAATACTGGACGATCAGACGCCGAGGCGGGCCTTGGGGTGGTGTAAGTTCCAAGCGTTCTCCCCTCACAACGATCGACAGGCGATCGTCCATATTTTCACTTCCGTTTGGACGCCTCGAAGATGTCACGTTTCCAATAAGCCAACAATGACCTATATTGTGGGACGAATGTCATCGGCACGACGAGCCCACGATTAACCCCGCCGTCCGGGCATTTGGCAAGCGCCCGTTGCAAGCGAGGGGCCGGCGCGGCTGCTTTCACCTGCCTTCCACGGGACGGACGAGTCCATGTTCTACATCTGGATCAATCGGCAATTCATGCGAGACAAAACAAGGACTTGGTCGGCTGCCGCGGGCCCTCTGGCGTTTGGATGGGGCGTCAAGGTCTCGAGCTCCAATGGAAACAGCTTCGACCTGCCTGTTTCTCACAAGTTTGGCCATCTCGTTTCCGGTCTTTTATCAGCTGTTGCGGGTAAAGCTAGGTATGAGATCCCACGCGTCTGAAGCCGAGGAATGAGCGATGGGCATCTAGAACAGACTTTGCTTGAAGGGTAAGGGATGGGATGGACGGGACAAGAGATGTGGAATTGGGCAGTCGACGGAGATGGGAAAGCTGAAGATGGTGTTCACCGGATGCAGACTGTATTCGAGGCGTTTCCATGCCGGCATGTCTCCAATAGCGCTACCAAAGTCTAGGAGCAACACTCGTCGTCGGGTACCCCGCAAGCCAAATTAGTCGCGTATCAGTGTTTGGATCCAAGGCCCTTGAGTTCGTTGAAGTCTCTGATCGGCTGCAACGTTGGGCTCAGGTCATCTGGGAGTGGAGCGTTGCCGGGGCGGACGACGGGAATGCTCTGCATTCCGGCCATGATTGCGGCTGTGACTTCGCTGGGGTTGTCACTGAGGAAGAGCCATTCTTCAGGCTTTGTGCCGGCGAAGTTTGACAGGATTGAAGCATAACTGCCGGGCTCAGTCTTGAGGCCGGCGTTGACCGTGTCGAACCAGCCCGAGATGAGGGGCGTCAAGTCCGCCGGCTGAGCATCTGTGTAGCCAAAGAAGAGCTTTTGGGCGGGAACAGAGCCTGAGGAGTAGATGACGAGGCGTAGACCGGCGTCCTTCCAGGACAAAAGACGTTCAGCGACATCCGGAAAGAGAGGCGCCTTGATTTCACCCGACTTGTAGCCCTCTTTCCAGAGGTAACCCTGGAGGGCCTTGAGGTACGATGCCTTGACATCGCGTTTGACAAGGTCGCGGAAGTGCGCCTCGAAGACTGGTCGATCAGACACACAGTCCTCAGGGAACGCATTACGGTAGACTGCGAACTCGGGATTGTCCCATTGCTTGTCTAGGGTAGCCGGAAGGGCATCGACGGCATACGGGTACTGGAAACCGAGACATCAGCACGGCAATGATATCGGCGGGATTGTGCCGCCGTGGGAGTAAGCGCACGGTTGCCCGGCTCGGAATGAAGAATACCACCTCCGTGCCATCGGAGGAGAATTCAAGGAAGTCACCCGGAGGGGGCTGCAAATCACCCGATGGACCAGGGGGTGGGTGGTTGGTAGGAACTTGGGGTGAGACGACATACCAGCACGTCTTTGACGAAGGATATGGGACAAACGGTTCCTTCTGCATATTTAGAAAGTCTCGAATCAGCATACGCAATGTAATCAAGACTTGAATCCGCCAATGCAACAAAATCATCCTGGATACGGTGAGTTCGGCATCTGGTAAGAAAGGTGCTCACCGATATCGAGCAATACGACACTAATAGCGCCGAGGCTGTGGGCCATTGTGTGAGCTGTCTATAGAGAGAAACTTGGTATTGTGCGTTGTCGTGACAAGGTGAGGCAGCAGGAAGAGGAAAAAATTTTAATTCCCGAAGTGACACGTCAAGACAGTGAGACTCTGGGGCGCGACGCGCGAGAAGACTTTTTTTTCCCTTCCCTCTTTGCGATTGTCTCTTCTCGCTTCCAGATTGAAATCCTTCAGCGGCGTTTCAAAGAACTGTTTACTTCCCAATTCAAGCTTTCCGCAATTCAACGGAGGCAGGTTGATAGGCGCTAGCTAGTTCATGCATGAAGGAGGTGACGGCGGGAGATTAGAAGAAGGCGGTCAAGCCAGCGCCCGGAAGTCAAGTAGGGCCGGAACGGGAAACGCGGTTGCAGACCTGCAGATTTGCCGTATGGCTGCCCAGTGCAGGTGGGAGTTGGTGCGAGATGTGCCTTGTAAGTTGTGTGTGTGTTTGTGTAGGTATGTGTGCCCGTGTAAGAGAGAAAAGTTGGATTGCGCAACGCCGCAAAGGTGTGTGTGAGTGGAGATGGCGAATAAGGTCGCAGAGGGCTACACCAACCCAGGCCTGCCATGGTAGCAGCCGGTGACATGGCCCAATAGCAGCAGACTGTTAAGACATCGATTGCATGACCAAGGCCTCACACTGAAGCAGCGGTGAAGACTGAAGAGGAAGCACTCAATTGTGGGCGATATCAAGCGGCAGCGGCTGGAACGAGTCCGTCGTCCGCGGACCAGCCGACGCCAGCGGCAGAGTGGCTCTCTCTCAAGGCTCATGTAGCGAGTAGGTGGATGAACATTTTGCGGCCGGACGGTGAACTCGGGGGCCGGAAAGGGGGGGCCGGCGGGAAGCTGGTCGCGAGTCCGTCGCGCATTGTCAGGCGGTCTGGTTCCCCACCATCGTGAGAATTTGACAGTTCACCGATGAACTCGAGAGAAACGTAGAGAAGGTCGTCGTCCGGTCCTCGTACGGGCGTCGACGGACCCAAGGACGATGCGCTCGGGTACCTTGCGTGGAGCACGCCGGCCTTGTCCCCAAATCCTTTCAACGGAACGCCTGGTTCAGGTCACCGGCCGAGAAGCCTAGGATTTGACATCTTGGGTAGACCGCTTATGGGTATCGAGAACCCCGTATCTGCCCGAGATCTATTAAGCGGGATTCTAGAACCAAAACGAGCACGCCAGAAGAGACTGGAGCTATCTCTTAGCTTTGGTTGGAAGTTGGAGTTCCTGACAAGTTGACAGGTTGTAACTCTGGAAGTTGAGAGGGCAGATACAAGCGCTGCGGTTAACAAGGTTATTGGGCTGAAGTTCGAAGTGGCCAATGGTTTCCTCACTTTTTTCCTAGTCCGTTCGGGCCCGCTGATTGAACCTCTGACACACATGCCGTGCCCTTTTCGTGCAGTCTCATCGTTGCTGTCCTTCCATCCAATCGTGTTTCTCTGGGATATCAATCCCTGTCACATCTGTGTTCTCGTGGTACGACTATCTCCCTACTTTACGAATACCAACGCCAGAATCCCGCAAGGGGCATGGGGAATCGGGATGCCACCGCAATGCAAACAACCATTGCCGAAACGAACTTGGAATGGAAACGGCGACAGCAGCGTAGTTATCGCAACAGCAAGGGTCCAATGGATTGGTGCCTTGAATTGACAAGCCACACGACTTTTGGACCCCTTTGTTTCTCGGATGCTACTCTGCACGAGTAGATTGGCCTAGAGATGTTTCTGTCCGCATTCGAGCGTGTGGCAGTTGAGCCAGACTACCGCCAACTGCGCCATGCCGTTCTGAAATTATGATGCTTGTCTTCTTCGGTCGATAAAGCTCGAGCTTCGGAGGCGTCCCGCTCTCACGAGCAACATGTTTCGCTGGCATTTGATGGTGATGGGCAGGCCACTAATATTGGTATGTGCCAATGGGCAAGCAGCGGATTGAGGCCGAGCAAGCGGGTGCGGACGGCGTGAATCTTGCCCAATGCCGAACGGACGCAAGATGTACCCAATAATCACGATACGTCACGCCTTCTTCCATCTCCTTGCCATCGTGGATTCATCTGCCTTGACTGGCCTAATAGTCTGAGGGTCGAGATGCGTTTGCTGTCGTGCGCTAGCACGTCCTCGTGCTAGAGTCCCAACGGTGTGAATCAACGGGAAAACCTAGAAGCATGATGGAAGAAAAAGCGCAGCGCACGGCCTGCTTCGTGGGATCTAGTTGCACCCGCGAGAACGAAGAAAGTCACGAATGAGCGAGGACGGAGACATACGGTGAGGAATTTGGACCGCGTGGCCAAGGAAAGAACATCTCGCGGGCCTCGATAAACACGCGTGGCGGCATCACGGACCTCGGCTCTGGTCCGATTCTCGCCTCCGTAACACGCAAGTGACGGCGAGGTGGATAAGCTTTGTTTTTCTGTTGGCCACACGTGCTTTCGCCGCCGCGGTAGCTTGACACATATTCTCACGAGCCTAGACAGATATTTGGGGCCAGAGATGTTGATAGAGCGGTATGAGTGACGGGGCGAAACATTATCTCATTACGGAGTTGATACGGTGGTCGAAACTAAAGTACTCCAGGACTCAATACTACTACGTAGACAACTCAATCTACCTGAAGAGTGACTTTGTGACACGCCTGACGGACTTAACGAGAGTCATCCCATTACGAACATCGTTGACATAAGTAACCACATGCTTCTATCACATCCTGAGTACGTGGTCAGACGTACGGATGCCCGGCGTTCATTCCCGTGAAGCTCGCCGCTCGCGGCGGCGGGGTTATCTCGAACGCCGGCGACGATCCGTCGTACTCGCCCGCCAGTTCCGTGGTCCTACGCATCCATCACCCCATTCGTATTGCGGCCGACCAGTCACATTGGCCGGTCTACTCGCCAGCAACGAAGTTACTGTTTTCCTGCCAGCCAGCCGCAAAAAGCAAAACACTTGCAAAACGCTCTAATTCATTGGGAAGGGGTTTGTATGGTTGGCTGGTGATGGTGGTGGTGGGGTGGTATCGTGGCATCTCTCATGTCCTTGGCAAGACATTCTGTCGCCTAAGCGAGGTCAGTTTCCTGTAGCCATTTTGGCCCATGTATCGCCAGATAGGACGGCAAGACGACACAAGCCATGGAGGTCCATCAAACATTGAAGCGAGACATTGTAATCAGCTGTTATTCAGAGTTCTAGTCTGTTCCTCTCAGTCGATGGCTGCACCGCCTCTTAAGGCACTTGGAGCTGAGCCCTGGCTGGCACTTTACAAGCCCCCCCAATTGCCTGCAGTAATGAGCGTACTACGGCTTTGAGGCTTTCGTATGTTCCTACGTCTCTCTCGTGGATAGTGGGGATCGATTTCTGGTGGCGGGGGATATTTCTTCAGTGTCATTCATCCAGCAGTGAGACCACTATTGCCCGGTCACACGACCGAGTCGTTGGGGAACAGAGTGGCACCGGGGACGTGGAAATGCGTGGTGACTCGTGAGAAGCACACGAACGCCGACTGCGGCCCCCCATTTTCCGTTTGATGAGAAAGGAGGCCACGGTTACCCTCACTTTATGACTGATACCTTTACATGATTATCCGCGCCTTCATCACCGTCAGCCCGGTCTGCCGAACCATTGAGCTATGCCAGGGATGCGTTTCCACACCGTAGGAGTCAAGTTGGCAAACTCCGCGATTATTACGTCGTCTGGACGGCACATACATACCGGCTGGGACTGTACACTTGTTCGCTTCCCGAGGTGCCCATACTTCCTACGAACCTTTTCATAAGAACCAATTTGGGTTAATGAGGGGATGACGAAGAGCGTCAACCTCTGAAACACTCTCGAGGAGCGGCCGTGATCGGCATCAGCCAAGGCTCAGCGTCACGGGCGCTAAGTACACATAGCAAAAGCATCAGCCCTGAGCCTGTGAACTGTGTACTTTGTAGGGCCTCTTTGGGGTCCAGCCTTCGAGGTGAGGTGGCCTTGTGGGAGCACTGGGGGGTCACATCAGCGTTCAATGATCGGACGAAAGTTGGACGTTTAGGCCCCTCCCCAGACCTCGGACTGGGCCAAATTATCGATACGAAGCAAGGGGTGGGCGGGTTCAAGGTTTCAATGTCGCCATGTTGCGAAGCTGTAATTTCAAGGACAGTCTGAATGGACAACTGTACATAGAATGCAGATCGGTTCGTTTGCTTACGGCCAAGATTAAGAGTGAACCGAAAAGAGGAACCGCGAAAGATAGCTGCCTCATCTACGATAATGCAAGATAAAGCTCTCCGCAGAAGCAATGTCCCACCCGTATCAAAGGCCCACGGGTCATCTGAGATAAATCACTCTGGGGTAAGCTGCAACTTGTGTGAGAGGGAGAGCAAGGAGATTGGGACCCCTTCGAATGGAGAAGGGAGGTTAGACACCAATTAGGAAAGGACCCATGAAAGCCCGTTTTCTAGTTCTGGAAAGTCGATGGAGAAGGATTTGTGGCACAGGGCCGGCGGCGCTTGGGGACCTCCCAAGTTCGTGGGAAACTCTGGGGAACTCCTGGCCGTCCGTGAGCACTTCTCTTTCCCTTACTTGCAAAGCATGGATAAGAGAGTTCAGAGGAGCGCCAGTGAACAGATAACACTGGTTGTGCGAACAAGATACGGGACGGGATTGACAGTAAGGATGCTTTGAACAGGTCTGCGACGCGATAACCAATGTCGAGCGGGCGCGATTATACTTCTGTCCCATCTGCAGGTCGAAAGGAGTGCAGTGTCATACGACCAATGAGACCAAGGCAAGTGAGCAAGTGAAACAGAAGCCCAAGGAATCCAGTCGTGAGATTGTACGAGGTAAACAGCTGGCGTTGTCGGCTGGCGT